CCAGCTCACAAATATTCAGACTTACCTCGGGTGCAAACATGGTTTCATATGTTGGGTTATAAGTGACTTCTTTCAGAGCAGGGTCCAGGTGTATGCCCGTCTCAACAGCCTCCTAAAATCGGGATTCGAACAATGAGCAAACGAGCTTCTTGATAAAGGCGACATGCTCTAGATTGGTAATTCGCATGTTTTGTTTTACACAAGCACACGTGAGATTTAACTAGTACAGTGTAAGATACATGTAGTTGGACCTTAAGTTACACAGAGCTCAATCAGTGTGTATTTTTTTAGAATTAGCTCAGAAGTAATTCCGCAAAGATTACAACACACTTTGCGGAATCTTTCCCGCTTAGTACTACTAGACCAAATCTGTAATTTTAGAGAATAAATAACTTCTAATTACAACACCACCTTTCCACAGTAATTTGAATAACCTTTATTATTATCAGCATAACAAGTAAGTAAGCCAGAGTTACCAATAATCTAATTATAAAGTGAGGTTAACGTTAGCGCTTAGCTTAGCTTACCTTGACAGCGACCTCAGGGGCAGAATTTAAAACAGCCAGAGACATACTGCTCTCCGACTGCAACGGTTTAAGGTGAGCCGTAGCGTCCGGGTCGACTGGGTTCACTTTTTCAACACTAGCATTAGATTCAGACTCATTTTCTGAATCGGAATCACTGCCGTATGAAACGAGGGAAGATATGGCGGCAGACATCTTGGATGTTGTGAATGCGGCGGAAGCAGAAGGGCGGTACTTCCGTTATAGAAATGAAGAAAGAATTTATAGATAATTTATTATTCTCTAGAATTGAGAATTTAAAGAGCTATAGCATTGCATCTTATACGTATGACCGGAATTATTAACTTAAAATGATTAATTCATTACATTCATTAAATAATGTATTAATTTATATATTTTGAAGACATTCATAAAACAGATATTTCAGTTGGCTAGAATATTACTCATATATATATTACTTTGCTAGAATTATAATTATTACAATTAACACTTTTAGGCAAAACTACCAAAATTATGGCCGCAGTTTGTAAAATGAGACGAAATTCTAACGAGGCAGTATTTTGTTTTTCAAAATAAACTGTCAGTATGTTGTTTAATGTGTTGTTGTGAATATATTGATTCACTGTGTGATTTTATTTTCTCTTTAACTGTAATGTTTGAAATAATCAAAATCAGTGTGTCCCTCCCTGAAATCGATTGGACAGCACAACACCACGGTTTGAGATAATAAGCCAATACCGCGAACGCGCACGAGCCTCCCACGAGTACACATCAGCAGCATGGGACGTTTTCTCGCGCCCCAACAATAGAGTGGTACGTACCATTATTACCGATTTCAATAGGGACGTTTTCTTGTGGATATACGTAATTTCACACTACTTCTCTTAGAAAGAAAACAAATGTCACATACGGGTAAAAATCAAAGTGGTTTTATGACGCGAAACCTGATGTAAGCTTAACCGGACTAGCTTTATTGCCAATTTCATCAACATTTGCCCAGAGAATCCCTTTGGAAAAAAAGTGGCTGGATTCATCTCTGCCGCCGCCTCTTCCAGCAGGAGTACATTTGATTACGGAGACAGTACAACCATGGATCCGACCCGGGGATTTAAATTTTTGGACACGGTGGCACACTCTGCTGCTCAGTAAGGATGGAGAGAAAATAAGAGGGTTTTTTTTTTCTTCTTACAAACGTATCAGGTAAATAATTTCTTTTTAAATTTTGCACTGCAGTGCATCATTTAACTGCAAAATGGGACTTTAGTAACGTTATGTTATCGCTATTAGCACAGCGGCAACTTACCGTCATAAAACCGAGTCACCGTGTTGTAACATTAGACTTCAACTGGAGCTGCTCGACTAATAACGGTCTTGGTAATTCAAAACTGCCTGGCCATCACTGACTCCCACGTTTACCCGGTGCACAGTTGACAAATGTGGCAATGAGAACAACGTTAGGATACCAAAGTGGTCAAAATCCCGCAAAGTAGCCTACCAGTAGTATTTTTATTTTTGAATGACTAAAGGAGGAATTGGTAATGGGACCGCTGGGTGATAAATTGCAGCTGCACATCTGCATGAGATCCCGCTGCAGCGTCTTGACATAGTGAGTCTGAAGAATATCACACTAGTGAGAAAAGCAGAGAGCAAATATTTGCAATGCTCCCCAATTAACCCAACGTGCATAAACAAATAAATAAAGAGACGTAGAGTGTGTTTTATTTGTTAGCGAGTTTGTGTAGTGGGCAGTTTGCTACAGTGTCATGAAGGGAACCACGGGCAGTTAATTTTATAAGAATGCATTGATTTGCCTCTGCGAGGCAGAGGAGAAGGAGGACAGGGGTTGGGGTCTATTCCAGCCAGCTTCGTTTGCAGTCATGGGGGGATGGTAAGCCTTCAGCCCAGTGAAAATCATGCTCTGTGAAATCCGAAACCTTCTTTGTACTACTTCAAGTGCAACAAGAAAAGTGGGCACGAGGGGCATCATCGTTTTGTGACCGCTGTGCAGTGATCAGCTTTTATATGTAGTGACAGCACGAATATGTGCTTTGATACACAGGAGGCCGGCTAATATGGGCTTTGCACTTCATCAAAGTGAGCATGTTTTTTCTACAGTCTGTCCAGTTGAGACAAACTAAGAGTTGGGTCTTTGAATTGCTGCAGGTAACTATTGCCTGCTGAGTGGCCAGCAGCATATTTCATGGTTTGCCTCTTTTAAAAATGCAATAGTAAAGGTAAGAACAGCCTGTAGTGACAGTGTGGGTTCAGCTCCGTGGTCGATGATGAATGAATCACCTTTAGAAACATCAGCTGCAGAGCTATTGATAAAAATCCATGTATGCCACTGTGGATGCTGCTTCTGACAGTGGATTAGTGTGCCTCTGATGTGTTAAAATAACAAATACAGCACGAGGCAAACTAGGGTTTACATGTGACATGCAGGAAATTAATAATTATTCTTTTTTTCCTCTAATAAATAGTGAGGTTAAAAAAAAAAGAAAGAAGCTATTTATCCTACAAGGCTAGACATCTTGTCCAAATCAACAAATGCAGAGCTCTCTACACTCACATTGCCTTGGCTGTGATTCAGTGGAATGCATAAATAAGACTTAATTCCTTGATTTGATCAGAAGCTGCATTAATAATTAATGCAGATAGAGAAGATGTTGATGCACAGACTCTTTCCAGATGACCTTAAATATTTACCTGTTATATCAAATTAGCCCTTTATATATTAGCCATTATATATATATATATATATTAGTGAGATGCCTGGTACATTTCAGTATCAGAAATATTTAAATATTTCTGCTCAGGGAAAAAAAGACATTTGGCTACAATCAGTGAATACCCACCTAGTTCCACCTGAAAAAGACTTTCTGGGTCGAGAAGATCTGTGATGGTCAACTGTATGTGACCTGAACTGCAGATGAGTAAAATTTACAGTAGTGCAGTGAATGGATATCTTTTGAAAACGTTAAAAAAAAAATCTGTAGGTTAAGAGCATATGGCAGAAACAAAATGGTCTGAGGGCCATTGCAGCTGTTAAATATATCAGCCTGCAGGAGTGGCCTCCAAACTATCACATGACTGAGAACTGTAGCCTAGCTTTCATAAGCGCTCAGAGGGATCATGCAGGGACCATTTGCCATATTGTTTGGATTCAGAGCTGGCTTGAGGACATAATCCAGAGACTGTCCCCTAACCACCGGTCTGATTCAGCCTCAGTGGACATGTCCTAAAGGATGTCTGATGTGGTCCAGACAAGAGGCAGTAGTTCAGTTTGAGGCAACTTCTTTTTAAAGCAGGCAACTTTCTGACCTTTATGTTATATGCGAGTCTTTTTTGGTCCTGAAAAACATCATGCCGAGATGACAAATACACAGTTGAGGGCTCTGTTCACATTGGCCGCTCTTTGATACATGAATATATACAAAAGTTTCTCAGTTTTGCTACAGGTGTCTCCTCAGAATAGAATCGAGCCTATTGCCATTTTATGTTATGCTGTTTGTGAACTTTTTGCTGTGAGGGATGACATTTCATCAGTTTGCACTTCTCGTGCTTTTTTATTTAAATGTGTTTCATAGGCCCTCATGACTGAACAGCCTCCTGTGGAGGCTTTTGGAAGTCTATTATTTGTTGACAGTGCTCTGATCCTCTGCCAGTCTTTGACTTTCTCATGCTAGCAAGAAATCTCTTTCTCCTCTGCTGTCTTTTTTGTGGTCTTTCTTTTTGGTCTTTCTCCTCAGAGGAGGAGAAGGGTGATAGGGGGACACAGAATGACAGGGGTCATAAGGAAAGAGTGTGTAGAAAGAGAAAGGAGGGAAATAGATGAGAGTTAAGTGAGTGATGGGTGCCTGGCATGAGGAGGAGAGAGGAGGTGGTGGGAGGAAGGTGGGCTAGGGATTCTGGGAAAGGCAGAGAGAGCAAAAATGAATGCGAGTGTGTGTGCAATGTGTAATGCCAGCTTACGTGCCATTTAGTTGAGCTACAGGCAGCCCTCCTATCTCCCAGCTGTTAGGATCCTCCAGAGGGCCCGGCACACAGGAGCTATTGTTCTTCTTGGCCAGGCCCACAGCTCTATAATACTGCTTCTGTCTGCAGTGTGAACTGGTCTGACAGAGAGACACCAGTGCACGGTTAAGCCTCCCTGACTGGTGCTCCTTGTGTCTTACTACCACTGCCTCCACCACTTCCAAAGAGTTTACACCAACTGCCTCGCTGTATTTCTTTAACCATTTCTTTTTAACTTGCTTTTCTTCAGTAGAAGTGTCCCTGTTCTCTCCTTTATTAATTTTTTGCTTTGCTTCCATGTTTTAATCCAGTCCTCGGTCAAACTCCAGGGATGGAAGTTGTCATAGTGTGCCTTAACTCAGGACTTACTGTTGTGCCTCATGGCAGATAATGTTTTGCTTTCTTTCAGTGATGCCACCCTGGAACAAAGGTAGAACGCCATTTTCAGAAAAAAAAATACATTACTTCTATTGAGAAGAAAGGCTTAATATCTCCAAAGATATATAAAATCCAAAATTTTGATCACAGAGCACCATAACTTGATCTTTAGTCTTAAAAATCTGCTATACCATGTCTTTTATAAATCTGGCATAGTAAGTTAACTCTCTGCCTTTTGTCTTTTATCTTCACACAAGGGAGGAGAGAGTGTTGACAGGCTTTCTTAGAGTTGACAAGGTAACTCTGAAAAAGACTTGCCTGATAGTGCCAGAGGGACAGTCAACTGGACAAAAAGAAAGATATCCCAACTGAGTTTAAGGGTACCCCTTTCCCATCTGTAACGATCTGTTATCCGTCTTTCCATCATCTAAAGCTGAATGGAACACGAGGCGTTATTCCCTTCAGTTTATTTGCCTTCGTTATATCTACACAGCACGCTGTTGCTGCCACAGCTGCACAGTGTTTAAACACATGCAAGAGTTCTCTCATTCACTACATCACTTGAGGCTCTGACAAGTTTTAGAAAGGATTTGTCTTGAGTTGAGGCTGTATTTCATATCTGTCAGATGCAGCTTGAGGAATAGGAAGTGTATGTACGTGCTGTCTTAGCAGTCTATGGTACAGAGCTGATTTAAAAAAAAACAAACAAAAACAAGCAAGTAAATAAATAAATAAAAACATAAGGAAAAAAGGTTGAAGGCTTGAAATTCTGGCTAAAAATATTTTGTCAACTTCCAGCTCGTAGAATAACAATCATGAGGTCTTTTCTGGGCTCACATGCTGCAAATTTAATAAAGAATCCTGTTTGGACTTGACATAATAGCCACGCATTTGGGAAACGGAGCACCATGGTGTCCCATGACTGACCTGGCTTATTCTGCCAGCTGAAAGCCAAAATCGCTACACAATGGGGTAAACTGTGGACGGTTGAAGCCACTCCCCTGGTGTCAAGTGTATGTTTGGAAGGTAAATGTAGTCTGATCCCTTTCTCGGCACAATGTAGGCTTCATCTGCTTTAGGAGCAAACTGGATACACGGTTCTCCCTGGGAACTTTAGGCTCAGAGACTAACAGTGTTTGTATTTGTGCGTATATGATGTCCAGAGTTGGGGGGTTTCTAGGCATTTATATTGGCAAACCAGTTAAATTGTAAGTTGCCTTTTCTCAATTTAGGTCACCATTAATTTATTTTTGCCTTGTTTGCTACCATTAGTCAGTGCTGCTTTCTCTCTTCAAAACGATCTCCTCAGCTGCACTTAGAGCATGTGCATATTTGAATGCATTTGAATATTCAAAGTTAGGCAAAATAGTGTGTCGCACAGAATAAAAATATAATCTCTTCTGTTTTACCCGTCTTCCTCATTTTGAATACGTGTGTTCTTTTTCTGTCTTGATTTCAGCCATATCTTCAGTCTCCTATTTTGCCCATTTCACTGATTGGTTCTTATTGAGCTGGAATGGCTGATGCCCTGGTCATTGTGATCATGTGCGATGATTGATGGAGGCTGAAAAATGGAAAGCAAAAGCACCTTTATCACAGCCACAGCTTGAATCTCTCTTGTCAAGACTTGGTATGTCTGTGTTCAATTACAGATGCACCGAATTTTCATCAGGATCTTCATAAGCACTCATTTTTCTTCTCTGTTTCTCTCCCCGTGGTGGAGCGGGAAATACGTTACCATCAAGAATAACGAAGAAAATAAGAGATGCAGATGAGATTTTCTCTTGGGCGTATTATGTTTTACACAA